CGGCGGTGGAGGCCTCGTGCTCGCGCAGCCCTTCGTGGATCGAGATCGATCTCGTCGCGTGGACGTAAAATATTTCTTCTTATACCGATCGATAACAACCTACTTGTTTTCGGGGCTACGACTTAACATTACCGAGTTGACATCTGCGGAAGTAATCTTGTACGTTGTTGAAGTCGGATAAGGTCGTAAAAAAAAAGAGATGCGAAATATTTTTTAAATACAAATCTCCGATCGGTAACGCGACCGGTCCGTTTGAGTTGCAATTGAGATCACCCAAATGACATGCTCCGAAATGATGTTGGTGCCGCACAAGACGTAGCCTTTTGTGAATTGACCGATCGATCGTCGCGAAATATTTCCTTTACATACCGTTTGCGAATAGCATAACGATCCGTTTGATTTGTGGCGCAAGCTCGCATCTCGCGGAATGATCTTTCAATGGCGGAGGAATACGTTCATGGAAAGAACAGTTTTACTTAAGTACTTATCTAATAGCGAATTTGATTGGACGCACTCAGGGTGCACTGGTGCGTATTAAAACTATCGCACGTACACAAATTGATGTAACCCGATACATTTTATTGTGTTGTTAAGTAAAATATGTATTATAATTCGAAATACTCGTATTTTACTTTTACACTCAGATTAAATCAGTATATAAAGATTTTAATACGTCCTAGGGCACACTAAAAATTTAACTAGATACAGATCTAAATACGTATAATTTTATTGGACTATCAAAATAATTATGTATTTTCATAATTTCATTCAGTCAAGTAAAGTTCCATTTCAAAAATGATAAACAGAGTTTCCTACATAATTATTTTCTTGATCTAACAAAACTATTTTTCTGTAATTAAACAAAAGAAATCCTTAGTCAAAGCGAATCTAATTCTGCAAACCGCCCGCCGAAGTCTTTTTCGATTTTGAAACACAATCGTGAGCAAAACTAGAGTAATAATATCATTTGAAGAATATTCTGATGTTAGTGAGAATGTTAAATCTAAAAATATAATTTATTGTGAAAAATATAGTCTCAAAAAATTATTTTTAAATTTGTATTCAGTTAAATTTGTAGATACTTGAGTAAAATCATTGTTTTCGTTTCACTATTATGAAACTGGTGAGAAGATCTTTCTTTCTTCCCATCGAATTGGCTGTGGATCGATGGCAAGTCGCGTGAACGCGCGATATTTCCTGCACAAACGGCAGACCGATAGCGGGCCGATCCGCATCGATGCGTTGCCGATAGGCTTGGCGTTTTCCGCGTCCGCGTAAAACGAAGTGCCGTGAAGATCGGGAATCCGCGATTAACGGAGATTGGACGAGATCGTTCCGAGCACGGGTAAAGTTCGAGAAGCAACAAGATCGATGTAACGAGTCCGCCTCGGGGTGTGTCCCGGGTGTGTTGGCCGAATGAAGTTTACTCGGTGTAATGATAATCAGATAACTTCAACTTTCTGCTTCGGGCAATGCGAAGTAGGTATACAGGACTTACTTCGTTTATGCCGTCGTTTATGCCCGACAATGCGACGATATCTTTTTTTATTAGAAATTCGAATAAGAAATATATTTTACCAGACCTATAATTTATTCTTTTTCGTCCTTTTTTAATTCCGCTCATTTTCTATTCAACAATAACTCTATAAAATTAATACACTGAGAAAAATGTACTAACAATAAGTTTTAATAAATATTTGTTTAAAAAATCATTAATTTGATTTAACTGTCAATTTTTATTTAGATAGTAAATAAATGTTTATTATCTAAAAATAAAAAGATGATAATTCAATCAAATTAAAGGTTTTTGTGCCAAATATATGTTTCCATTTAGTGAATGAATAGGTATTTAGCTAGTGTATTATTAAAATATTTATTATAATTTAGTATATTTTTCCTGAGTATATGAATAAAGAATAACTGTGACGTCTCGAGATTAAAAAGAAAATATATAGGTACAGGAAACACACGTCGACAAAGTTCGAGTAATATAATAATAAATAAGCTGTTATAATAAATCCACTGGCATGAATTCAGTGGATAATAAATTTCGATTATCGGTAACCTTAGAGATCATACGTAATAGTGATATAGCGAGAAAGTTTTCTATGAGTGCATCTACTTGTTTATTACCATGATTGAAATAATGTTCATTAAAAAAAAAACTGATAAAATCATTTGTCAAAACTGAATTAACAGAAAGTAATTAATTACAGACTTTAATACGTTCTAATACGGACTTGTAATTGCCGTTGCATATTGAAACATCATTAATGAATGATGTGTTAAATTAATGTACCGTTTTCTCTCTGTAACTATCAATTCGTAATTGCCGCAATTATCTCTAATAATCATTAACAATTTCCGGTATTCTCTATATAATAAAAATTATATATTAGCTAACAGTGATACTTGTTTCACATTGTTGTCGGCAATTCGAAACCTATAGTGATGCGTTGTATATTTTTAGAAGAAACTTTTTTCAATAAAAAAAGGATGTATGACTTTACTTTAAGTGTGTGCATAAACGTACATCTTATTTAATGGTATATACGTTCCAAAATTACCCATTTTAATTGTTGTAATTTTACGTGTAATTTTTTATAGTATGCAATTAGAATACTCGACCTTGACGAAGTCGTTGATCTTGGACTACCGTCGATGTATTATGCATGATGCAGAGTCAATGACTTGACCGAACGCATCTCTTCGGCAGAAGAGAATCGGTCGTTGTCGATAAGCCGGTGAGACTTTAAATGTCTCGTTTTTACATGTCAGCCACGTACAAACTGTGCTACACGTTACATGCGGTCCTTAAACCGTAGCTTCGTTTCGTGCGCGAGTTCCACAGTTGCATCACGATGCGTCAAGAAGACAACGAAAACGAGAATGAGAAAAAGAAACAGAACGAGAATCATTCTCTTTGAGAATTCTACAATTTTCGTGAAATTTGCGTCTCGCCGATAAAAACGTTTAATCTCGACAAACACGATGCGAGTTCAAAATGCTCCGATATCGATATCCTGTTTGTGTAGATAATCTTGGGCGGAGAGGTGGCGAATTTGGATGTACTTTCGGAAAGTTTATCAAGTCTAATCTAAGCGTTCCGGATAATTCGGGACCCAGAGAGAAAGTCTCTTTGGTGGATCATCGCTCTTCGCCGAAGTCGTCACCGACGTCGCCGGTATTTCTCCCTTAGTAATTCCCGGTATGCGAAAACGAGCCCGTTGTGTGACTCACCGCCTACGCTCCATTTCTACGTAGCTGCACCCACACGTTTCCATGTAATGAGAAATTTTAATTCCGCGAGTCGCGATCCCAAGCGAGTTTCCGCGGTCGATGATTCGACCCGACCATATGAATCTCGCGACTCATCACGCATTAACTCGGTCATGCATTATTTACTTCAGGAAATTATTCGCGCACAGGTTGATTGTGCGAAAATTAAATCGCTCGAGTGAATTCCTGCCTTTACGTGCGATCGCGCGGCCGGTGGAAGCGGTTTAATCTCGCGGATTTTGCATAACGATGATTTATATCGTCATTATGAAGAACGCGCGCCGTGAAGAATGCGCGCCGTGAAGAACGCGTGCGACTTTGCCATACAAAATTTCAATATAATAGCAAAGGGTGAATTACACTAGTTTGCAGTAAAAAATTATTTCAAAAAAAAAAATCTTCCGACTAGATGTTTCTTATAGATTTTTAAATACTGAAAACGATGCCGTAAGCCAAAAAATACCAGCACGTCTAGTTTCCAAAATAATTAGTGTCAAAAAATGGCTTTTTTACGATATTTTTTGTAAAGGTTAACTTTATCTTAAAATTATGAACAATTACAAAATCTAATAAACGTATTGTTCATCCCTTACAAAATGTTTTCTTTTATTTCGATATAGAAATTATATCATTATATCTAGTATAATGATTTCGTTGTCATAAGCAGAAAATTTACTATCTTAGAAAAACAACGTATTTGAATCCTTCATAATATGATTGAAAAATAAGATACTTATTGAAACAAAAATAACCTTTTTTACTAAAATTTAACTTATGACATAATTTTCAGCATTCAAAATGAGAAACACCTTGTCCGATTCAAAGTAATTAAGAAAGACAGTTTTTCGGTAATAATTTACTAATGTGTTATCGAGCGAAAAAATGTGGGAACAATTGCTGCCGGATAATCACGTCCGCATCTTGCATTTCCGATGAATTCGACGTGACACGAGGATCGGTTTCTCCTTCCCTTCACACGCTCGTCTCTCTCCGGTGAGTGGTAATCACGTAATCAGCCGCAGCAAGCGTCGCTTTGCACCAGCCGCGGCGCGGCGGCGGCGAAACAATAAGGATTACGCGGCACGGCCAATCGCGCTGACTGATTTATTGTCGGGTGACAGGTTTTAAAGAGGATCGTAAACGATGGGCGCCCGTGCGTGTGTTAGCAATACACAGAACGGTATCAAACGCCAGAGAAGGTCGACCACAACCAGCTCTAAACGAGCCGTAACCCCGCGATTCCCACGTACTCGTCGCGGGATGCCATTCCTCGCCGCGAAAAACGGGACCTCGACAATGCGATCGGTGCGCAACACGAGCCAACGACAGGTGCGCTCACTCGTAGTCATTGCCGTCGTTGTCGACGTTGAGTGGCGCGTGGGGGAATTTATAAATACTCGTTACTCAAATCTCTACAATTTGTCAGCAAGAAATGTTAAAGGCTAAAGCCTAATCTATACAATGCGCTCTTTGATTTCTGCTTCTTGCTTTTGTACCACTTTTTACCTCCTGCCTTTTTGCCTCTTATTCTTTTTACCTTCTTCCTTTTCTGTCGCCCGAGATAAAAGTTGACGAACTTGGGAAGAGGCAAGAAACGCGTGAAAAAAAAAAAAAAAACGCGATTATCGATGAAATGGTCGCAAAGAAGGAAAAGGCATGAAGTAAAAAGCGCGAAGCAAGAAATATATTGTAGATGAGAAGAAACTCGCGTGCTTGTATACCTTTCCCAAAAACTGTCCTTTGTAGTAGGCGTTCCCCTGCACGGGATCGACAACGTAGTCGCTTTCCTGCTCGGCGGAGTTGTTCCAGGAGGAGGACATAGAGGGGCCTGCTGGTGCCTTGGCGACGCTAGTCGTTCTCGCCAACGAGACCGGCGGC